GGGGCCCGCCCGCCCGTTGTTGTTGTTTTTCCCGGGAAAAATTCCCCTTTTTTGCCCATATTTTGGGACACCCATGCAAGCGGGGGGCGCGGGAGTTCTTTGTGTTCGCTTTCCAGAAGAAACATCATTCGTTCTTGGGGGTTGTTTCGGGGTGGGGTTTTTTTTTTTTTTCCGGGAAAAACCAGGAGGAAACCCGTGGGGGGGGGGGGGGGGGCGTGTCCTAAGAGAGTGTTGAGTTATGGCACCATCTGATCTCACTACTGTAAATGTGTCCCATGAGTGTTGAAGTCCACCGTTGTATCATCAAACTGCAAGACAACAGCTGTGTGCTGTTTGGAGACCGCCATTTTTGAGAAACGAGCCGGCATGTATGTGGTAGTGACAGGAATCATTGCGTTTTCCGAGGTTGGCATACACCCTCCCTATTACGCTGCTTAGGGTGGGTTTCACCACAACGCTAGACAAATTACATTTGCGATTTCGACTATGGTACCGACCTTCGAAGAAACGCCCACCGAACCGAACCAACTGTTTGAACTCATTTGGTTCTGAGCAAAATACGCGGAAGAATTGGCACGAAGAACAACCTGCGGCTCCTCTTTTCGAGGGCCACGTGGTTTCGAGGGCCCAAAGGACAACAACAACGACCAATGGAGTCGAAAAAATTTCCTCATAGTTCTAAACTGTAGCGAAAATCATGCGTACAGCAATTCCACGCTAAGTTTCTTGTTGGAGTTTCTCCACTCACCCTAGGTGTTTTACGATTGTCTTGCCGCTAGGGTAGAAGCGCACGAACTCCCCCAGGTCGTAGCACGCGATGGACACAACGCTCTTGTCCTCCGACTTGAGGAGCTCGATAAGCTGGATGGGAAGAGAACAAAGCGGCAAGACCAAACGAGGTGCATACGCAAAACCATCAGGAGGAAAGGGAGGGAGGGCAAGGAGAGGGAGGGAGAGGGAGGGAGGGAGCATGCATCGGTGTAAACGCATGGTTTGGGATTACCTGTCACTAACGGTCGTCATCCCAAGGACAACGACATTGTAAGAAACAACAACAACAACGACGTAAGCAGCAGAATGCCACAGGGCGTTCTCCGACCTGCTTGAGGATGAAGAACTCGTCGGCCTCGAACTTCCTGGCCTGCTCCCTCCAGAACTTCTCCGTGTGCACCGGCCCCCACTTCAAGTGGCCGGACATGACCTGCAGGGGGGAACGAAAAAGCAGGCACGCCAAGGAAAGACGCCGGGAGGTTACATCAGACATTACGCGCACACAGCGCTATGTAAGGGAATGTAGGAGGCGGGGAGATGGCACCCCCCGCGGACAGACCTTTCAAAGCTCCACTACTCCACTACCAAGGAAGGTGCGGAAAGACTTCGATGCGCCTACGGAAAGTCCTCGACGAGGAGATGTTTCCAAAACCACCATTTTCGGAGTAATCGAGCTTTGAAAATGGGGGGGGTGCCATCTCTCCGCCTCATACGATACTCAGACCTTCATCTCTTCCACGCGGTCGAGGCGAGCTCTGTTGGCGTCATGTGTACGGTGAATGCAAAGAAAACGAGCGCACGAGCACCCACAGCACAAAACGATACGTAATGGCTGCATTGACTGAAAGCAAGGGCCTTCAGGCGTGCGAGGAGCCGACAATGTGGTTGACCCTTCCGTAAACTTGACTCCCAACGCGCGGTTAGAGAGGGAAAAAAAGGGAGCTCCTCGTTTCGATAATTATATCTCTTTTGTTCCCTTCGCTAGCGGTAGGCGCTCGAATCACAACCCATCTCCACGGCGAAGAGAGCGTCCGAAACGATTAGTGATGCGGTGAGATGCGGAGGTGTGACGCTACCTAGCGTAAGCGCGCTGAGGTTAGCAGTCAGTGGACAATATGGAGAGTCGGCTAACGTGTCATGTGGGCTGCTATCTTCTCACGGTTTGTTTTTGAGAAATTTCTGCAGGAACAAAGCCAAAAAACATGCAGAAACAAAAAGAAACGCCAGCGCCGCCTGCGCGATGCTGTATCGTGCTTGCTTGCTCACCTCCTGGGAGTAGCGTTCGAACGTAGAGAGGTCCCGCGAGTTACGCTGGAGGACGCTGAAGAACGAACATAGAAGCGGCGAGGAGGTGGGGGGGGGGGGGGGGGGGGGGGTACCCAAAATCGGGGTGGCCGAATTCTAAAACCGTTAACCCCCCACCCCCCAAAAACCGGGGGGGGGACCCCCGGGTTTTCCCGGGACCGGGGTTCCCATTACCCAAGGGGAAAACCCCCGGGGGATTTTTTGGGTCCCCAGAAAGGGGGGGCCCCTCCCCGTTAAGGGGGTTTGGAATTTTTGGTTTTTTTCTTTGGGGAAGGGAAAAACCGGCGAAAAAATTAATTTTTTTTTGGGGGGTTTCCTTTCCCAAAAAAAAATAAAACCCGGGTTAACTCCCC